CAGCAGTGCATCGAAACAGAACCGATGTACGCGTACGAAACAATTCAAAAACTATCATTTGTTCCACACCAAATGTTTTTTTAACCAGCATTTAAGATATTGAAGATATTTATTTACGACTAGAAACATAAATTATGTAGGTATAAATATGTATAAGGCTTCATTCTTATAAGGAATGTTAATATCAATCACAGCAGGAAACATAAATTGGACTTAACTCTTTGACACTGGAAACCGTTCCGGTAATTTAGAGTTCATAGAAACGATCAGGCCTACTTGTTAAACCGGAACGATCTAAAAAAAAAACAAAAAAAGAATAATTTGATATAGGGGTGTGAGGCACCAACACCCAGCCTTGAGGGTGAAACGTGAAATTTTCAGGGTTCTCGACAATGGATCTTTTCATTGTTACTGTCAGTAACCTTTTATCAAACCATCGATATTATTTTTCCTAAACATAATCGAATTTCTTTACGACCTTGATTTTATTGAACAATCTCCACCCCTTTGTCTACGTGTTTCCTGAAATTTTGCCAAATTTTTATCTCAATTGATCTTACTCATTGACCTATATCCGTTTAAAAAAATAAGAAAAATGGATTCGATTTCTGTGATTTATACTTTAGTAAATTGTTAGAAAATTGCTGTTTTTGATTTTATACACTAACAAATCTGTTTCTTTAAGTCACAATGTTTAAAAGTGGAGATATAAACATACCATTATCTTCAAAACATTACCATAAATAACAACAATAATTGGCTTTAAGTAGCGGCTAGGATTTAAGGTGTCTTCAGATAAGAATTAGCGATCAGGATAAAGGATAAAGCAATAATTTAAGGAGAATCTTCAAAGAAATTAGGGCAAGGATGCGATAAATATCATCTTTTTTCATATAAAGTGAAGGAAATGTTCTTGCAAAGTGGTTTCTTCATTATATTACAGATAGGTCTAACTATATTCAATGCGCCTGATTTCGCTACATATTGCATAAAAGTCATTTAATATGGTAAAAAAAAAAGGAACCAACTAACAGAACATCCTTAAACTGCAGCGAAAGGAAAGTATCATAGAATAAGAATGTAAAGAACAAGTTCAGGATGTCATTGCTTAATGGCCGAACTATCATTAAGGATGCAATTGTTGAAGAAAAGACAAATCAGGATGCAACCAGGATAGTTAAAAGATATTTTTATAGTCACAGTGAGGTATGCATGCCAGAGAAAGAGCAGCACTATAACCGGGATAATCAGGCAAACCATTGTTACAAACAGGATAATGGAAGAAAAGATAGAATCAGGATAATTAAGCATATCATTATTAGTTTTACGGTAATTAAGTATTGTTATCAGAGGTAACATGACAATAATATAGTGTACAGTGTTTAAACCAGTATTTTATATTAAAAACTGATGTAATTGGCCCCAAAAATTTATATACATAACAATACAATTCGTCAGAATATCTGGAAGATCAGTTAATCATCATGACGTTCCCACGTATTGAAACTTTTGTTTACATAACATATAATTTTCCCTATGTCATCAAAACTAGAACAAACCTTTCTCTAAGCATAGAATATATTAAAAACTATAACTCATAATTGTATATTTGCCAAGAAAACGTGAAAGGTAGCATCGTGCAATGACCAAGACGTTTAAGAAGATAATGTTTTCAGTAACAGATACGATGATTTACATCAAATTAACCATAAAAAAAATAGTGATTTTTATCATGTTTTAACCGCAATCCGAAGCTTATTTCTTTATTTGTATTACTATTACAGTAACAGGTAAAACTGTACATGAGTAGTACTTTTTTTTTATCATTAATTTTTTGATAAATGACTCACTTATGCCTGAGGGTACGAAGCTTTGAAGTAACGTACTTTGGAGGACGTTCATAAATAGGACGTTCGTGTAGCGAAAAATCTACTACTAACGCTATTGTTCGACTCGATTTAGTTATTAAAAGTTAAATAATAGAATTCATTAAGTAAGAAAATTAATTTTTAAATAAATACATGTAAATTATGTGTTACGGCGTGGGTTCTTCGCGTCACGTATCTTCAACGCGTGAAAATATCAATGTTACGCATGACTTTATAACAATACTTTAAATAAATAGTCAAACGGGTTAACACGATTGGATTTTTACATAAGAAACCAGTATTATTTGACTTATATTCTATGGCAAAGGACTTAAATTATGATACGCAAAATTCGACTTTGTAGCGTGCCAGTTTTGATTAACACGCTCTGTTGGTTGTGAAACTAATTCGTATTGACACAATTTGATTAAATTTACCTTCAGAAACATCTTTATCCCAGTTAAAGAACAGTGACATAAGTTTCCATCGTGTGCCTTTGATGAAACTATATTGTATAATCGGGGTCGAGTTCCGATGTTTCATATTAATACATGATGAAAATGCATTGAAAAATGCAAAAATTTAATTAATTTTTCAGTAAAACATGTTAATTGATGATTAGAAACAGATACAGTAACGTAATTCAGTTGAAAGCAGACTGTTCTGTGTAAAAATCTCAAGTTATATTGCTTATACATTATATGAAAACGTGACGTTACTAGATACAAGGAAGAGAAGACAGTAAAAATGTGTATACTTTTAAAATTTTACATACTTTATAAGTTATTTTAACTTATTAGAGTTAAGAAATGACTGTATATACTCTTGAAATTGTACGCAGCATCTTAAAATATACTGAAGCGCGTGTAGTAATTCAAATATACCCTTCAAGATGATAGTACAGTAAAACATGTATAAACATTCATGATTTACTGTATATACAATATATACTACCATCTTAAAGAATACATGGCATCCTGAAGCGAATACAGTACATTATATGTCATCGTGCTGAAGCGTTGAAGCGCACACAGCATTATCTTGTAGCACTTATAGTAGCATGGCCTCATATGGTAACCAGTACAGTAGCAAGTTAAAGCATTTCGAAGCGCAATAGTAGCACCTTAAGCTGATTCTTGAAGCATATACACGGCGAAATAAAGTTAAAATCACTAACTTATCTTCCCATTAAACTCATTTCAACGACCGTTTTCAAAACTAATCTTCATATTAACACACTTTTTATTATTATAACTATAAATAAATACTACTTTAAACACCTTTAAAAAGTTAAGTACCTTTAGAAACAAGATAATTTATTACTTTATGGAATATTCTTGAATGAATAACGCGAGTCAACGTACAATAAATGAGTAATTATAGTATACAAGATTTAATGCCTTGCCCGTGAATTATTATTAGTAAAGTGTACTTAATGCATCAATGAACACTTCAACGATTTAAATTAGAGTGGAACTGTACTTTGTACATCGTTTATATTTATATAAATGGCTTTTGTAAAAATCGTTTTCACACTATCAAGTGTGAAAACGATTTTGTATGGATGAATAATTTGATACAGAAAAAAAAGTAGAATTTGTGTGATAAAAATTTCTGCTTATGACTTTTATACTATTAAATTCTTTTTTGTTTGCTTATTTTCATGGAAAGAATGGAGGTGAATAGTAAAAAAAAAATTAATAATGATCAAAACGTCTTGTAATTTAAAGGAAATTTTTCGTTACATTGTAGTAAATATTTGCATACAATTAGCATTAAATTTTATGATGTTTAATGTATTTTATTTAACCTGAAAAGTTTGATTTCAAGCTCGTAAACCACAGAACATTTGATAATTAAGATTTTTTTACGTATTTAGCTTCTAAATCTGAAAAAAAATATGTGATATTTAAGCCTCTAAACCCCCAAAAATGCTAGATTTTAAACCTCTAAACCTCAGAAATACTCGATTTTAAACCTCTAAACCTCAGAAATACTCGATTTTATACCTCTAAACCCCAAAAATGATAGATTTTAAACCTCTAAACCCCAAAAATGCTAGATTTTATACCTCTAAACCTCAGAAATACTCGATTTTAAACCTCTAAACCTCAGAAATACTCGATTTTATACCTCTAAACCCCAAAAATGATAGATTTTAAACCTCTAAACCCCAAAAATGCTAGATTTTATACCTCTAAACCTCAGAAATACTCGATTTTAAACCTCTAAACCTCAGAAATACTCGATTTTATACCTCTAAACCCCAAAAATGATAGATTTTAAACCTCTAAACCCCAAAAATGCTAGATTTTATACCTCTAAACCTCAGAAATACTCGATTTTATACCTCTAAACCCCAAAAATGCAAGATTTTAAACCTCTAAACCCCCAAAATGCTAGATTTTAAACCTCTAAACCCCAATAATGCTAGATTTTAAACCTCTAAACCTCAGAAATACTCGATTTTCGAGCTCCTAAACCTAAAAACGACTCGATAAACTTTTTGAGGCTTCAATTTTTTTTGAGTGTTTACAAAAAAAAACCTGCTTAAATAACTTTTATAGCCCGAAGCTAAAAGAATTCATTAAATCTTAAAATTTGTAAAAATATTAAAGTTTTTGGGACTTAATTTATATCCTTTAGCTTTAGGCTATGAAGTATATAAAAAAACGCTTTTAACGAGGGCAACACTTCACTAAATTACACATCTTCAATCGGAATATTCTTCAAAAAGATGCATTTTAATTAAAAATTGCTTGCTTAAAGGAAATTTTGGCTTAAAAGTAGCGTTGTTCGTGCACTTTTTTAACTTAAATTTAAATTTTTTAAGTAATCGCACATTATCTTTCAGTTTAATGATGTATTTTAAGCACAAAAATGTAAGATTTTACAGTTAAAATACTTTAAAAAATTAAGAATTTAACCTATAAAGTATTAAATTTAAGCAATTTTCTTACATCTAGAAGCTCTAACACCATTTTTTTTTAATATCTAAACAGCATTGATACTATTTCAATTCATAAATCATCCTTGAAGATACAAAATAATTTAAGTTTAATGCTTTGTAAGTAATACAAAATTATATAAACATAATAATTTACGTATTTAATGTGAAATTTTACAGGTTTTTTAACTCAAAAATGCCATGGAGAACCGGACAAGTCGTTCAAATGCCCAGAACAATTCGGTTACTTCGCAGATATGGACGACTGCAGCAAGTACTTCGTATGCGTGTTTGGTGATGCTTTACACGAAAGTTGTACGGGTGGATTGTATTTTAGTGCAGAACTACAAACGTGCGACTGGCCTAGGAACGTCGAATGTGCCAGTGGTGAGTGTTAACTTTAATTAATTTGACACGAAATACGTAAATAATCATGTGAGAAAAAGCATCCCTCTTCAATTCAATTTCCTTTTATGAATATAATGCTTAGATTTTTATCGTGTATGACATATGGCTGGTCACGTTTCTGTACTATTCCACAACTATTACGCTATCTTACAATACTCTTTAACCTGGATATGAAAGTCCTTGAAGTTTATACAATGTCGAATGCTTAGCAATTTCCTCAATTCCACTTTCAATGCCTGCGATTGAAAAAAAAGAAGAAAAATATGTCAGCGATTTTGCCATTGTTTGTATAATAAGAAAGCTCTATTATCCGGATATGATTTTTTATACACGCGCGTATAAATGACTTGACTAATGATTTGTATCTAGAACGCCATTTTAAACTTATCCCCTTTATGTTTTTTCAGGTGAAAAGCCACCAAACCCAACTGAAGAACGTCCTCCTCAAGATGGTTTTGATTCAAACAGGCATCGCTCAAACATCACAATCATCTCCACCCCCAACGATAATCAATTATCCTTCCATAACAGGAGCAGAAGCACTACAAACAGGCCAACTACCACTACAACAACGGAACCCACGACTATTGCAATATATAAATCTCCACACGATTACAAAAAAGAGCTAGAACCTGAAAATCTCAATCCCTATAACCGTCAATCCCCTGATGTTAATGAGTCTTACGAGCCCGACACACCCGATTCGGATGAAGCTGCACCCCCCTACGTCGATTCAGAAGGTGGTATATACGTCAATGACGGACCCCCGAAAACTTCTGGAGTGATTCAACGAATACCGGGTGTATCTGATTACGATGTATTCATAAAACAGATTCTGGTTAAAGACGAATCGACAAACACCAATTATCGCAGAGATAACACCAATAAATTAAATGGCTATGGTAAAGAAATACGCGATCTACCTCCTCTACACTCTAATAATGGTAAATCTTACGATCACGATGCCGATCACAACCAAACAACGATTTTAGGTGGGTACGATGACAACTTCGAAGCCACTCGTAAGACTTCGATCAAACAGAACAACAACCAACCACGAATATACGAGCCACCACCAGCGCAATATGATTATCCACCCGATTATAGTAAGAAACACCTAAATTCTACCAGAACACCAACTATCTATCCTACTAACTACGATACATCGCCCGTCCAAGATTATCCGGATTACCAATCAAGCGATTACGATTACCCTACTAAAATTACCAACAGAGGACGTATACCAACAACCACAGCATCGCCCACAGTAGCCACGACGGATAAGACGACACTTAATTTAAGAAACACTCCTCCTTCGCGCCCAAAATCTGTTTATTCTACACCACCCCCTTTCGCTCAGGCCGTTAGATGCGATTCTTATTCATGTGCTCTTCCAGATTGCAGATGTGGTGGCACAGATATCCCTGGGGGATTAACTGCCAATCAAGTGCCTCAGATAGTGTTATTGACTTTCGATGATGCCATCAACGACCTAAATTATGATTTGTATAAAAGTATTTTTCTGACGGGAAGGAAGAATCCCAACGGGTGCCCTATTTTAGGAACTTTTTACGTTTCTCACGAATGGACGGACTATGGTCAAGTTCAAACACTCTACTCTCAGGGACACGAAATGGCCTCTCATTCCATCACGTAAGTACAAATTTTTGTTCACGTAGTACAAATTTTACTAGAATTTTGATATAAAAAATACCTTACAATGACCTTGAAGCTTCTCGAAACCCCTCTTTCCAATTACTCCATAACATACGTTTTCATTGACCTTGAATGTTTGTTTAATGGTGGCCTTGTTGCGACCTTCACATTTTACCGTTAAATTTCGAAATTTTAGTCACGTTTCTTTAATATACAGGCTAAAGTAACTTAGATTTGTTGTTTATATTGTTGTAAAAATTGGGCAAATTTTCAGGCAGATGCAGTGCATCCTCTTTTTTATTGTACAGTACTAACTTTCACGGTGAATTACATGATTAGATGATGAATTACATGAGTTAGAATCACCTGGAAACTCAAACAGGCAGAAAATTTTACTTCTAATATGAGAAACTATCCATAGGTTAAGAGGGTTAAACTTAATTATGATGTATCACGAGATAGAAGATCAATGTATGGGTATACAACTCTTACAACTAGTTTAATTATACATTTGTGATATATAATATTTTGCAAAATGTTAACAATATTTTCTTACAGTCACAGTTACGGAGAGAAATTTTCCAAGTCGCAATGGTACAAAGAAATTCAAGGTCAGCGTGAAATCTTGCATAAATATGGAGGAGTGAAACTTGAAGACATCAGAGGGATGAGAGCTCCATTTCTACAAATAGGTGGCAACAAAATGTTCGATATGTTATACGAAGCCAACTTTACCTACGATGCCTCCATGCCAATCTTCGAGAATAGTCCACCCTTTTGGCCCTACACTCTCGATTATGCCATAAATCACGAGTGTATGATAGCTCCCTGTCCTACTAAATCCTATCCCGGACTTTGGGAACTCGGTCTGGTTATGTGGTTGGATCTAAGAGGTGGTCGATGCTCTATGGCAGATGCTTGCGCCAATCCGCAAGACGAAGAAGGTGTTATCAAGATGCTGACGAAAAACTTCAATCGCCATTATAAAAACAATAAAGCTCCCTTTGGGTTGTTTTACCATTCGGCATGGTTCAACACGGATCATCATCGTCGTGGTTTCCTCAAGTTTCTGGACAATATTTTGGATAAGCAAGACGTATGGTTCGTTACTAACTGGCAACTGGTACAATGGATGAGAAATCCTACCCCTTTAGATAATTTAGCAAATTTTGAGCCATGGCAATGTGACAAATCTAAATATACTGGACTACCCGAACCCTGTCCCCATCCTACAGTGTGCAGCGTGTGGTATCAAGGTGGTGTTCGTTATATGAAAACTTGCCAGCCGTGTCCTACAGAATATCCATGGGTGAGTCCTGAAGACAAAGGATGAACTATCGTTTGACACTTTATCCATATTACATATTTAATTCTCCGCACAAGACTTGTAGATACAGCATTCCCCCGATCAATAAAAGAAAAATCTTCGCATTGTAAAATCGAGTGTATAATAATTTATTTTGCATATCAAAATTTTCAGCACAACAAAGTATATCCTTAAATTACGTTTTTAAGACCGGAATTTGCATAATTTAATACACAATTCAAAGGAAAAGAATGGAAGTTTTATGTTTTGATGCCCTAAATTTGCATTAAGAAAACAAAACAGAGAATTGAAAAATACGATTATTGTGTTTTCAAAGATCAAACTCCATAAATCTTATACAAAGGACAGTGAGAAATAATACAACAATTGTGCTATTAAAATGCAAATTAGTAGAATTTTCAATATTTAAAAACGTAAATCGTTATGTTCTAAGAGCAAAATTAATAAATTTTAATAGAAATTTGCATACTTTAATACGTAAAAAAGTCATTTTATAACACAGATAACGACCAGAAAATTATTTTGCGATTATAATTCGCGAATTTGTACTCATAGTTGTGGTGTTTTTCAGTCAAAATTTGCATATTCTAACAAATGCAAAAGAAAGAGCGATTTTATGACGTATACAACGAACAAAACTAGATGATTTTACAATAAAATTTCGCAAATTTTATACAGAATAAACATAACTCGAAAATAATCACTACATTACAGAGAAGCCAAACATAACAAAGATTAATAATAATAAAAAAATCACCCGACTACCGTGCGTAACGATCAAAATTCTCACAAGATCTCTAATCACAAAAGGGTTTTTTGAGGATGTGGGATTATTATTATTATTAAAAGACTAAATGTAACATCCCACAACACTAGACTCGAGTATTGTGTTAAGTTGCTATCGGGTTCAGAGGTCAAAACAGTCTAGACAAATGTGCACGCTCGACCGATTCCCAGATCAGTATCTGTCAGAATCGGGACAGATGATGATGTGGCTGCCATATTGTTCCATTTCTTTAACCGCGTTATACCGAACTTCAATGGAATTTGGGCTAACCAAGAAAAAGGGGAGAGATGGAAAGAAGAGATTATGGAGTCCAATTCACCTACAAATCGCACAGGGGATAGTTTATAGATAAGTTTGGGTGTAGACGGCCTTAAAATTGAAAACAATTGTTTTGATCCCGAGCGAGCCGCTTGACAATGTGTTATAGAAAACGCTCCGATGATTATGCAGAACGAAACAAAATCGTGCAGTTTTTTTGTTTATTCATTTAAACAACCCCACTGTAAATTTTTCTGTACCCCAAATACCTAGAAAAATATTGATTTCAATGAGGTGCATTCCTGTGTGATTGCTCAATCGAAGAGCCTTAAGGAGAACGTGTGAAATTCTTGAATATTTACGACCTTACACCCTTTCTAGAGTTACTATAAATCAAATTATGTTATTGATACAGTCATTTACCGTTAGACAAAGGTAATACAAGAAAGTGGGTGGTACTTTCACTGAGTGAGGGGCAGATTAGGGATAAGAGTTCAACAATCGAGGTCATATCGAGCTAAAAGATCGGACAATTACCGATTTAAGAAAAACTAGGGTGGAGTGTTTATCACGTTTATCGTGGCGGTATTTGTTCTAGTTTTTATTGATGGGTGGTACTTATTCAAATTTCTATCTTACTTTTGATTAATTGTAGTTTATTTTAATCGATAAATTACACCATGGTTAGAACAGGGTTAAGTGAAATTAAACGTGAAAAAAAAGTGTATCAGATAGTAGAAAACTGCTCAAGTTCTAAGGTAAATTGAGATGTAAACATGACACACTTATTATAGTAAACTAAATAATTATATCTTATTCTGTGGTGCCATCCATTAATTCTGTATTTTTTGAGCCTCCTCCATGTTGCATATAACTGTACACTTTTGGCAAACCCTCTCCCCTTTAACTACATGTACAATAGTTCACAGATCATCCTGACAGTAATGACTTTAAAAAGTTATGTAAACATTTTCTGGTAGTTTATGCACATAGACTTATAAGAACAAATATGTATGGCACTAAATACCACTAAAATAGTCCAAGTAAACAATGTCTCAACTCCTTCCCAATCTTTCCTGTACTTTTTGCAACTCCCCTCTCTCCCTTAAAGAGTATACTTAATTAATGAATGGCCCCTGTTTAATGTTTTTATTTTGTTCCCCCCTTGTTTATTTTTAATTATATAAATAAATACATACCTGAATCTTGATAGAAAAATGAAAAATTACTATAAATATATCAACTTTCTCGCTTCAGTTCAAAGAAATTCTAAACATTTAATGGGAATTTCGTAAAAAACAGTTGTTTGCTAAACAAAGAAATTAAATAAATTAAAATTATTATAAATGATTATAAACAATGAAGAGTGGATGGTTGAAGTAGTTAAGGCATCAGCCTACTGCTCTGGTGCTAGGTGAGCAACTCCAATGGGCAGCCTATCTTGGATGTGTTGGGTCTTGTCCCTTGCCAACCAGCTGTCCCACTGTAGATCAGGCTGAACCAACAATGGTTAGGGGATAAGACTCTCCTAATGGAAATAATTGAAAATGAAATAGTATGCTGTTGTTCTTTCTAGAAAACAATTCTGCTTTTAAGACCTGAATATTTGTTTTACTTTACATTTTTCAGTGCTATTGTGCTTTCATTACAATGATAGAAGAGCATTTCTAACTGGGATTAGCTTTAGATAGCTAAATGGGATTTGTTATATTAAGATAATAGCATATTAAGGTTATATGTCCAGCCACAAGTGAATATCAATCACAATTAAATTAATGTAATTTTGGGGATAATCCACAGAAAATAAAATATTCATATAACCTACCCTACTGTATATCTTGTGATCCCTTTCAAATTATCTTTCAAAAACAGATAACCAGCAGGTTATCCACTGAAATTACAGTAGCTAGCTTATTAGGCAATCAAATTCAATATGTCTCATCAACTGGGTATAAACTATCTTTTGTTTGTTTGTTTATTAAATTATGGCATTGAAACACTTGGGCAATCTGCCTAAGGGAGATGCTTTCCGGGAGGTCTTTTTAAGAGTAACTGGTCCCTATTCAGGCGTTACAGACATGGAGAAAAATGGCCACGTGGAGTTTTCCCTTGGAAAACTCCACGTGGCCAGCCCATCCTGGCGAGGTGTGAACCCATGAACAAACTCCCAGTGTTCAGGGAACAGAACGTCTTGGTCACTGGTGGGCCATAAATTGTCTTTTATCCAACCTGATAAGATTTCAAGATTTCAACCTGACAGTTAAACCAGCAAAAACAAACAGAGAAGAGAATGAAAATGATGATGTAATCCACATAAATTTCTAATCCATTAATTAATTAATAATTAATAATACGTAAAATAAAAATATTTTTTCTTCAGAGTAGCATTAAAAGTTGGAAAAATATAATATATTTCATTAATTTAGCATCAATTGCTACTGATTTCATAAATTAAGGATAAATAATTGATTATTTAAGAAAAATTATATGTTTAAAATTAATTTAAAAATTGTTAATAAAGTGGGAAAAGACTTTTTATGATAAAATTTAGTCAAAGTAGACTAAATTTTATCATAAAAAGTCTTTTCTCACGTTGAAAGTTTTTTTAATACTCTTTCTGTTTCATAGGTAATGAAAGGGTCTTTTTTTTTCACAGCATTATAGGTTCAATCTTATCTGTAATGGGGTAACTGGATATTGAGGTATAACACCCAAAATTTCCAGGGCAAATCACTCATAAAATATTTCTGGAATGTGACCTGGGCTTGAACCTAAGTCCTCTACAGTAGATAGTTAAAACAGCAGATGAGCCCACCCATGGCCAAGTTAATAAAATCACTGAACATGAATAGTTGGTTTTGGCTTCTTGCCTGACCAGTGGGCTGGCCACATGTTTTCCAGTTTGTTTTCACATGTATAACACCTAAATAGGGACCAGTTTTTCTTAGAAAGTCCACCTGAAAGGCACCCTCCTTTGGCAGATTGTCCTTTTTCATCTCAGTTACATGGCCAACATATTAAAAGTGTTACAATAATACTTCCTTTATTCATTTAATAGGGAATTTTACTATTTATACAAAATAAATATTTCATAAAATATATATTTTGTTATAAAATTACTTTTAATCTTACAAAATATACTTAAAAACTGCTAAAATGGTAACATAAAGAACAAATATTTGTAGTAAAACTGTGTATTTACAGTATGTTTAGTCATAAAATTAAGTTTATAAAGTATTTTATGATATAAAAATCCCATATTCTTTAATTAAAATGTCATAAAATTTTTCCAAAACTTTTATTAAAGATTTTAAATTAATCATAAAAATCAAAACTTTACATTATTATTTGATAAAATTATTCAGATAATCCTATTTCAAATTTTATTTATGAAAATATACTTAATAATGTTTGTTTCACATACTTTTCCAATACTTTATGCTGACTATTATGTTCAGTCCAGGTCTTGATAGTTTGCAATATAATATCTGATTTCATGCAAATTCCACAAAAGTATTGCTTCAATGATGGACATATTTCAACATCAGACAATTTCAAATAAATATTTTCAATTTTTCCATGATAAATAATAACTTCAATAATTAATTTCTTGGTCTCATGATTACTTGAGCAACGTATAGGTAGATTTATAGTTTCTTCCACTATGAATTCTTTATGGAGAGTAAACCGAGGTGTTCGTCCATAAATCCATTCCCAGCTCTTCAAATTTCTCATATTCTCCTCAATTCCACTATATATTTCTTCATTTGGATAAATGTATTTAACTCTGTCTTCTTCGATCTAAATAAAATATTTAGAAATTAATTAGAAACAGGTAGAAATTTGTATTCTATGTAATTTATACGAAGAAGTACAATTACTTCAATCATTGTCCAAAATTCAACAAGTGGTAGAATTTAATGAAATCAAACTTCAATATAGCACTCACTTAAATAATATCACTCTCATAAAGTATCAATAATACTTATGAATGGATCTTCCTTCTGAAATATTAAATAAAAAACCCTGCAGTATTTATGAATTACAGTATTGTAAATGACATGTTTATCATCAAATTATATTATGCTGACTTTCAAATTAGTGAGTCTTATTGTTGAAATTCTTCAGTTCAGGAACACACTCGATTTAGTGCTAATTTCAGAGGTGAAAAAATTGCGGCATTTAATCAGTTTAACTGCGTATCAAATTTAAACAATATACAATCATTTTCTGTTTATTTCGAATATTTAAATATATTTCTTTTTTATCGTTTCAACTTTTTATATTACTCTAATTTTTAATATCCCAATTCAATGATCAATGGGTGGATTTTTATATCACTTACTCAAAAACTTGTATTGAAAGAACTGATATAAAACAATTGAATTTCAGTATTCAGATCAGTGTTTCCCAATCAGTGGGTCGCAACCCTTTCAGGGGTTGTGACCAGTATTACTGGTTAATGTCACGGTCTTCCAGTATACTGAAAGGGGTCACCAAATAAAAAAAAAATTGGAAAGTACCAAACAAGACAGTAATGTTCACTAGATATTAATGCAATAAAAAAATAACCTGAACTGGTTATTTCATTAAATATGTGAAAATGAACAATTTATATACACCAGCAATATGTTTAATAAGCAAATAAGCATTTCCAATTGTCTTTAATGACTATCATCAGGTTACAATCTCAAATATTAATGTTATAATCTGATAACAGTCACTGAAGGTAATCAAAAATGCATGTTTGCTTATTATATGAATGGCTATGTAAAAAAGCTGTTTATTTATACATATCTAGCAATAAGAAAATAAAATAAAATAAATGAAAGAAAATATACATTCAAATTTGAATAAGCTAAATTACTAGAAAGATGGCTAGATAAAAAAAAATACTTCAATAAATCTTAACAATTACATACTAACATGGGTGGCTGCACAGAGGACAAACATGGCACTTGCCCATCCCTGGGATGAAGTAAAAATTTCCACAAATTATAATCAAACATAATTGAAATAGATAACCTCACACCCTCAACTATGACTCACTTTAATGCAATACTGTATTCTATAATTTACTTGGGGGAGAAAACCCCAAAAAATTAAATTAAAATTTATTGATGAAATTATTTGTCTCTAAGCTTTACCCCCCTGGAAAATTTTCTGTGGACACCCATGCATACTAAGCATGGACGAGCCATTCTGGTTTGACCAGAAAGGCTTTAGAATGCTTGGAATGCAATTGTTAAAAATAAAATACTTCAATAAAGCATATCGGGTCATTTATCCCTTGTATATAAAAGAAAATTAATAGAATGCATAAAAAATAACTTAATAAATTTTCTGTATATATTTCCAATTTATTCAAATTGTATCAGCTTAATATTATAGCAAAGAAATTTGTTTAAACCATTCTATCTTGAATTTATCTAACAACAGACTTTGAAAACTACATTTATGTCTTAATTGCATATTTCAGGAGCGTATTTTCTTAATTATGCAGAGATTTTCAGACATTATGCATTAAAATATTCTTACAAGAAGTTTTATAAATTAAGATAATTTATAGATGCTGATTGATTACTTTATACACTCAAAATATTTCTTAGAATTTTATATCATTTCTTTATCAGCTATGTAGTAAAATTAAGTGGACTAACTGATATAAAAAGNTTTTGTTCCCCCCTTGTTTATTTTTAATTATATAAATAAATACATACCTGAATCTTGATAGAAAAATGAAAAATTACTATAAATATATCAACTTTCTCGCTTCAGTTCAAAGAAATTCTAAACATTTAATGGGAATTTCGTAAAAAACAGTTGTTTGCTAAACAAAGAAATTAAATAAATTAAAATTATTATAAATGATTATAAACAATGAAGAGTGGATGGTTGAAGTAGTTAAGGCATCAGCCTACTGCTCTGGTGCTAGGTGAGCAACTCCAATGGGCAGCCTATCTTGGATGTGTTGGGTCTTGTCCCTTGCCAACCAGCTGTCCCACTGTAGATCAGGCTGAACCAACAATGGTTAGGGGATAAGACTCTCCTAATGGAAATAATTGAAAATGAAATAGTATGCTGTTGTTCTTTCTAGAAAACAATTCTGCTTTTAAGACCTGAATATTTGTTTTACTTTACATTTTTCAGTGCTATTGTGCTTTCATTACAATGATAGAAGAGCATTTCTAACTGGGATTAGCTTTAGATAGCTAAATGGGATTTGTTATATTAAGATAATAGCATATTAAGGTTATATGTCCAGCCACAAGTGAATATCAATCACAATTAAATTAATGTAATTTTGGGGATAATCCACAGAAAATAAAATATTCATATAACCTACCCTACTGTATATCTTGTGATCCCTTTCAAATTATCTTTCAAAAACAGATAACCAGCAGGTTATCCACTGAAATTACAGTAGCTAGCTTATTAGGCAATCAAATTCAATATGTCTCATCAACTGGGTATAAACTATCTTTTGTTTGTTTGTTTATTAAATTATGGCATTGAAACACTTGGGCAATCTGCCTAAGGGAGATGCCTTCCGGGAGGTCTTTTTAAGAGTAACTGGTCCCTATTCAGGCGTTACAGACATGGAGAAAACTTGGAAAACTCCATGTGGCCAGCCCATCCTGGCGAGGTGTGAACCCATGAACAAACTCCCAGTGTTCAGGGAACAGAACGTCTTGGTCACTGGTGGGCCATAAATTGTCTTTTATCCAACCTGATAAGATTTCAAGATTTCAACCTGACAGTTAAACCAGCAAAAACAAACAGAGAAGAGAATGAAAATGATGATGTAATCCACATAAATTTCTAATCCATTAATTAATTAATAATTAATAATACGTAAAATAAAAATATTTTTTCTTCAGAGTAGCATTAAAAGTTGGAAAAATATAATATATTTTATTAATTTAGCATCAATTGCTACTGATTTCATAAATTAAGGATAAATAATTGATTATTTAAGAAAAATTATATGTTTAAAATTAATTTAAAAATTGTTAATAAAGTGGGAAAAGACTTTTTATGATAAAATTTAGTCAAAGTAGACTAAATTTTATCATAAAAAGTCTTTTCTCACGTTGAAAGTTTTTTTAATACTCTTTCTGTTTCATAGGTAATGAAAGGGTCTTTTTTTTTCACAGCATTATAGATTCAATCTTATCTGTAATGGGGTAACTGGATATTGAGGTATAACACCCAAAATTTCCAGGGCAAATCACTCATAAAATATTTCTGGAATGTGACCTGGGCTTGAACCTAAGTCCTCTACAGTAGATAGTTAAAACAGCAGATGAGCCCACCCATGGCCAAGTTAATAAAATCACTGAACATGAATAGTTGGTTTTGGCTTCTTGCCTGACCAGTGGGCTGGCCACATGTTTTCCAGTTTGTTTTCACATGTATAACACCTAAATAGGGACCAGTTTTTCTTAGAAAGTCCACCTGAAAGGCACCCTCCTTTGGCAGATTGTCCTTTTTCATCTCAGTTACATGGCCAACATATTAAAAGTGTTACAATAATACTTCCTTTATTCATTTAATAGGGAATTTTACTATTTATACAAAATAAATATTTCACAAAATATATATTTTGTTATAAAATTACTTTTAATCTTACAAAATATACTTAAAAACTGCTAAAATGGTAACATAAAGAACAAATATTTGTAGTAAAACTGTGTATTTACAGTATGTTTAGTCATAAAATTAAGTTTATAAAGTATTTTATGATATAAAAATCCCATATTCTTTAATTAAAATGTCATAAAATTTTTCCAAAACTTTTATTAAAGATTTTAAATTAATCATAAAAATCAAAACTTTACATTATTATTTGATAAAATTATTCAGATAATCCTATTTCAAATTTTATTTATGAAAATATACTTAATAACGTTTGTTTCACATACTTTTCCAATACTTTATGCTGACTATTATGTTCAGTCCAGGTCTTGATAGTTTGCAATATAATATCTGATTTCATGCAAATTCCACAAAAGTATTGCTTCAATGATGGACATATTTCAACATCAGACAATTTCAAATAAATATTTTCAATTTTTCCATGATAAATAATAACTTCAATAATTAATTTATTGGTCTCATGATTACTTGAGCAACGTATAGGTAGATTTATAGTTTCTTCCACTATGAATTCTTTATGGAGAGTAAACCGAGGTGTTCGTCCGTAAATCCATTCCCAGCTCTTCAAATTTCTCATATTCTCCTCAATTCCACTATATATTTCTTCATTTGGATAAATGTATTTAACTCTGTCTTCTTCGATCTAAATAAAATATTTAGAAATTAATTAAAAACAGGTTGAAATTCGTAACTCTATGTAATTTATATGAAAAAGTACAATTACTTCAATCATTGTCCAAAATTCAACAAGTGATAGAATTTAATGAAATCAAACTTCAATATAGCACTCACTTAAATAATACCACTCTCATAAAGTATGAATAATACTTATGAATGGATCTTCCTTCCGAAATATTAAATAAAAAACCCTTCAGTATTTATGAATTACAGTATTGTAAATGACATGTTTATCATCAAATTATATTATGCTGACTTTCAAATTAGCGAGTCTTATTGTTGAAATTCTTCAGTTCAGCAACACACTCGATTTAGTGCTAATTTCAGAGGTGAAAAAATTGCGGCATTTAATCAGTTTAACTGCGTATCAAATTTAAACAATATACAATCATTTTCTGTTTATTTCAAATATTTAAATATATTTCTTTTTTATCGTTTCAACTTTTTATATTACTCTAATTTTTAATATCCCAATTCAATGATCAATGGGTGGATTTTTATATCACTTACTCAAAAACTTGTATTGAAAGAACTGATATAAAACAATTGAATTTCAGTATTCAGATCAGTGTTTCCCAATCAGTGGGTCGCAACCCTTTCAGGGGTTGTGACCAGTATTACTGGTTAATGTCACGGTCTTCCAGTATACTGAAAGGGGTCACCAAATAAAAAAAAAATTGGAAAGTACCAAACAAGACAGTAATGTTCACTAGATATTAATGCAATAAAAAAATAACCTGAACTGGTTATTTCATTAAATATGTGAAAATGAACAATTTATATACACCAGCAATATGTTTAATAAGCAAATAAGCATTTCCAATTGTCTTTAATGACTATCATCAGGTTACAATCTCAAATATTAATGTTATAATCTGATAACAGTCACTGAAGGTAATCAAAAATGCATGTTTGCTTATTATATGAATGGCTATGTAAAAAAGCTGTTTATTTATACATATCTAGCAATAAGAAAATAAAATAAAATAAATGAAAGAAAATATACATTCAAATTTGAATAAGCTAAATTACTAGAAAGATGGCTAGATAAAAAAAAATACTTCAATAAATCTTAACAATTACATACTAACATGGGTGGCTGCACAGAGGACAAACATGGCACTTGCCCATCCCTGGGATGAAGTAAAAATTTCCACAAATTATAATCAAACATAATTGAAATAGATAACCTCACACCCTCAACTATGACTCACTTTAATGCAATACTGTATTCTATAATTTACTTGGGGGAGAAAACCCCAAAAAATTAAATTAAAATTTATTGATGAAATTATTTGTCTCTAAGCTTTACCCCCCTGGAAAATTTTCTGTGGACACCCATGCATACTAAGCATGGACGAGCCATTCTGGTTTGACCAGAAAGGCTTTAGAATGCTTGGAATGCAATTGTTAAAAATAAAATACTTCAATAAAGCATATCGGGTCATTTATCCCTTGTATATAAAAGAAAATTAATAGAATGCATAAAAAATAACTTAATAAATTTTCTGTATATATTTCCAATTTATTCAAATTGTATCAGCTTAATATTATAGCAAAGAAATTTGTTTAAACCATTCTATCTTGAATTTATCTAACAACAGACTTTGAAAACTACATTTATGTCTTAATTGCATATTTCAGGAGCGTATTTTCTTAATTATGCAGAGATTTTCAGACATTATGCATTAAAATATTCTTACAAGAAGTTTTATAAATTAAGATAATTTATAGATGCTGATTGATTACTTTATACACTCAAAATATTTCTTAGAATTTTATATCATTTCTTTATCAGCTATGTAGTAAAATTAAGTGGACTAACTGATATAAAAAGCGATAACCGAGTACTAGAACTCACTGTTTTGACAGTGCTTTACTGATTAACCTAACTGAAAATTTAATTATTTGACTGTTAAATTCCATGAAGGACATCCGTAAAAAATAAAGTTTGTAAAACCAATATTTATATAAAACAAATAATTTTCTTATATATTTAAATAAAAAATAATTAAATTAATAAAACATTTATGCAAATTAAAATCCTGTTTGAAGTGTGGAAGTATATGTTCATCAGATTCTAGTACATATTCATTAAAGTTTGAAACAATGCCATAGTTAAAATTAAAACTTGTTAAACAAGGTCACGTCGATTTTAACATAGAGAAGATTCTCAATTAATTGATTGATGACATATCACTCATTTTTTTAAAAATTTAAATAAAGCTTTTAATGAAATATTTATTGTCACAAGTAAAAATTTTTTAATTTTTTTTCCATAAACACAAGTGAAATTATATTAAAACACTGCTATAAGCTGGAAAATAATATAACAACTCAGACACCTCCTGTAAGTACAGAAGGTGTCTGTGAGTTATATTGTTTTCCAAATTAGAGTAGTGTTTTAATATATATAAAAAAAATTTAAAGTTTTAATTTTTTTTATTTACGTTTTATTATAAAAAGATTATTTAATAAGCTAATTCAATTTCTACTCCTCTCAAATACTAGTATCATCTACCAATGGCTGGGTGGCTGAGGTGTTAAGGCGTTAGCCTACTGCTCTGGAGACTTGGAATCGAATCCAAGTGATCAAAAAACTCAGGAATTTTTTCCAGATATATTTGGTTCCATCCCTTACTATCTGGTTGAACTCATGATAGGTATGAAAAAAGGCTCTTTTAATACCTACAGGGCAGAAAGAGTTAAAAAAGAACCTTTGTATCTACTATTTAACAGCACAAGGATAAAAAACATTATTTTCAAGTTATTATATAAGTTTAAACTTAATAATATAATAAAAATGATAGATATTCTTAAAAACTTTTTATTTTTAGCTCCATTATGTGAACAATTTTGGGTTTCTCAATTGTTAATAGTCTTTGTATCACTTTTAGCGATAAAACCTATTAAAGGTTGAGAAATATTTGAGCAATTATTGTTCAACTACCTACTATGTCTGCAAGGAAACAATTAAATAGCTGTTAAAGATATTTCTTAAACAATAACAATGCATAGCCATATGTAGAAGTATAACACAATAAAAGATAAAATTTAAAAACCTTTCCACAGATTTTGATAATGAAAATCACATTAAAAATCTTACTATAAATGAATATTTATGATATTTTGCATTATTAACCCATTAAATAACAGACTGCCATTAACTTATCTCTAAGATCTGAGGTTAATGTAAGTATGAACTCCATTCTTCTATGATGCGGTATAACACTTTCTTCATATAAATCTTTATCAACTTAATGAACCCAAAAGTTAAATAAATAAACTGTAAATGACGTTATATGTATTATGGTAAAAGATTAAACAATACTATATAAAAAATATGGTTTAATAAACAATACACTGTCGGCATTATCTAAACAACAATCAGCCAAATAAGTTATTAGCACTAAGATAACACACAACCATCTGCACAAAGATTTATGATTTCCAGTTTAAAAAAATGAATGAATACTTTGAAACAAAAAACCTTTTGAGGGTTTTTTTGAAGTTTAATTTACATTTTTAATATATAATGTCATGTCATAAAATATTTTTATGTTAAAATTCACGACATTTTTTACTTAAAAATGTAAATTTTTATGATTAAAATAGGAAGTTATCTGTTTTTAATTCACTTATCTCATACTTAATCAATTTAGATATTGGCCAGATGGCTGTGAAGTAAGGAATCCATCTATGCCATAACGAAACAGGATGTGAATCAGATATAGGATTTTTGATTTTTTAATAGACAAAGAATGCCTCATATTAAAGTCGTAACAATATGATGTTACAATGTCTCTGAAACACTGTAATGCAAAATGATAATGTTGAATTATACAGTTTCAGAGTCCACAGTTTAATCATTACAAATGTATAAATTTGAGTGAGAATGTTTGATCTCTGTAAATCAAGACACTTAAAAAAAGAGTCATCTACCTTTTTTCTCACATTCATTTCTTTCTAAATCCAACTGATCTAACTAAATATATGGATTCTGTAATAAAATTACAGGTAGTTATCATCAAACGTATACTACCCATTATGACGAATGAAAAAGCCGATGTCTTTACCATCCCCCTTGCATAGAAATCTGGTAAACCTATTTGTGAGCAAGAATCATTTACAATTGTAAAATTGAAGATAATCATATGGTCCAATATGTGTTGACATCTCTCAGGAAAATTTAATTTAATCTAATACAGTGATACCCTGAACTTATGCGATAGGTGGGACCGAGCGATAACTGCATAAGTCGAATTCGTGTAAGTTGGGGTATAATTTTGCAATTTGTGTAAAATCCAAGTTGGAGGTATGTAAGCTAATAAATATTCTCGTTAATCTTATCTCGTCTTTTGATTTATTCACGATTACAAGAAATCACCACATAGAGTCTCTCAAGTCTCCGTAGATATAAAATACACAGAAATAAATAACACAAAATAAATTGTAGCTATGCATCGATTCCGCGTGACACGTCCGAACATGTAAGCTGAACAAAGGTATGGGGGAGTGAATAATCAAGAGTTACCTGGAGCTCAAACAAAAGATGATTCGATGAGATTTGAAAATCACATAACTCTGGGTTTGCGTAAGTCGAGGTATTACTGTACTTTACAGCAACATACATACAACATTAAAATTTATATATATTTTTTATATTTAATGTCAATGATTTATAATTTATAATTTGTATGTTGCTATAAAGTATTGGATTATTATAACAATATAAAACAAAATTACAATAGATTAGACAATAATGTTTTTAATAATAGATTTTTGTTTTTTAAATGTCTATGGTTACAATCAATTAACCTCTATTACCAATGACTGTAACTATTTACTTGTGATAAAATGTTATGAAATTTTGAGAATAAACAAATGTTTTGTAATTCAAATAATTACCAATAGAATAAATTTCTTATTTCTAGAATTACAGATTAAAACTGGATAAATAGAATA